GTCGTGATAACGATATATTATATGTGATAAGAGGAGCGAGGCTCCGAGAAGCCTGCCTTATCACCGTAATAATATATACTAGGCGATAAGAGGAGCGAGGCTCTAAGAAGCCTGCCATATCACCGTAATAATATATACTAGGCGATAAGAGGAGCGAGGCTCTAGGAAGCTTGCCTTATCGCCATAATAACAAAATATAATAGGTGATAAAAGGAGCAAGGCTCCAAGAAGCCTGCCTTATCACCATCAGACCTGATCTAATGCAAGACAGTAGATAGGAGGAGCAAGGCCCCTGGAGGCCTGCCCTATCTCAAACAGACGTTATTGAAGATGAGTAGATCTCGAATGGTGTACCGGACTATTACTAATCTTCTCAATAGACAGGGAACGGTGAAAGCCCTGAAAAGAGATCGCTCCATTATTAACAGACCACTTCCTGATTCTACTAAGGTGGAGGTAGAAGTAATGTGACCCAGTGTGACATGTCCTGCTACCTTAACCTATCGATTGATGTCAATCTTATGATTCTACTTCATATAAAGATGGGTGATACTTTGTCTATGTATGTCTGAAGGGAAAAGTTTTGGCGATATTGGCTCTATACTTCTCTTCCTTCAGACAACTGTCCCTAGAAACTGATCTGATAAGAGGTTAGAAAGGCTGCCTAGGGGGAGTTATGTCGATGTAATATTATTCCCGACTAAAATGAAATTCACTATATTGAACTTCAAATTGGGTCATATCGATGATAAAGAGGTGTTGAGACCGTGTTGGCCTGTGTGTGATTGCAGGTCATCCTAATGAAGAAGACTAATTATGAGTGTATACAAGACTACATGTTGTTGCCTTATAGTAACAGGTTGGTTATCCAACTCAACCCTCACTCACCTTCTACGCCCACACTTTGCATCGACCTTTGCACTGAATGACATTTTTGTTTCGGGTCAACGTCTAAAGGATCTGTGTTTGGTCAAAAGAGGTCCTTGAATGACTAAGCCGAAAGGAGAATGTTTGGTTGAAAAGGTTGGAAGCGTAAGCGTGATGTGTGTGAAAGTGAATGAATGGTTGACTCTGCTAGAATTGTGTAATGTGATTGACTCTTGTCTGCAGGTCAGTAAAACGACCAGCCACATGCTATTCACTGCAACCCGCTGAGAAACTTACGCTATCCTGGGCCTTGATCCAGACATCTCGTCAACGCGCAATTTCTACACTTGGTTTGAGTATCCAACCTTGTGTTTTCCCTAATTGTTAGGAAGATTAGGAATATAATTAAGGCGACAAGCCTCATTCATTTGCTGATTATTTCATCTATACATATTTGAAAGGTCAATGACCTATGTTTTCTTGATGAATTCAAATTGTTCTCGTGAATGTGTTACGTGTATGTGACATCTCTTCGCCTAATTACTCAGCCTCATCTAATTTCACGTGTGTGTATGCTATGGTCAAAGAGTTTCATAAAGCGATATGTCGAATGAACTTAATCACTATGTAGGATGGGTATGTGTCAACCTCTGATAATTTAAGTACTGAGAGGGGTCCTGCTTGAACATGGGATAAGTTATGAGTCACACATATAGAAACTCTTTATATTCAAAACATAGTATGCGCGAACGTTCGTCAGTCGAGTCGACCCGATTTGTAAGTCGGTCCGGGAGATCAGTGCCCCGATGCCAGACGCGTATACGGGTTAGTCTTAGGCGTTCAAACCGCGCGTATGCCTATGCTACGGCGATCGAGCAAACGCCATCGACTGACTTACCTCTGCGATTGCAAGTATAAGCCTTCGCACATGGGTCAGTAGCTCAGCAGGGATACGCCCACCTAAGGGATGGTGACAGTTCCCGTAGGTGGAGGTGAGTTGTACCTTGCGTAATCTCTAACCTATCCTGGAGATCCGTAAGAGGTATAGCCCGCACGCACGATCGGAGTTGGTCTTTTCACTGAAACGGTTCTAAAACTCCAGCGTGATACGACCGTGAGGTTCAACACCAAAAAATACTTTATGTCTGAGTGTGAGACCGCCACGCGCGACAACGCTCTGGCTTGAGCCTGCTTTTCTTCCTCTTCTGCGTCGTGTCTCCCGATCGACGGGTAGTTCGTCCAGGGCCAGATTGTTACCGCATTCCTACTTTGAATCTGCCCTGATTCAGAGGCAGGTTCAGTCGATAACTAACTATGAGACGAAAAATAATAAAGAAAATAAAAAGAATAATAAATCTAACAAAGGAACAAAATCTAACTACTAAATACCCCGCCGTGCCAACTGTCATGGCGGGGCCTAACCGTATCTAACCTCAATTCCGAGGTCACGGGTTCGAATCCCGACTGACCGTGCCCGGGCAAAAAAAAACAGCGGAGCTCTTTCACAAAAAGAGCTAGCCCAGGGGTCAGGTGGACTCGTTCCCTGCACCTATCATTTAACAGGCTGTACCTAAGCCAACTGAGTTAGCTCTTATTCTGATTAAAAAGGAGTTTCTCAGTTTCATATAGAGGGTCAGGGCTCAGCCCACCTAGCGGTCTGGGCCCGTTTCCAAGTCTGTATGTAGGCATGTTTGTTGTATGCTGGTACTACACCATGCAAAGGTCGTTGTGCCGGGTACTTTCAGTCTGAGCAGAAGAAGACAAAAGTTTTTAGAGACCTTATACCGGTCGTCGCTGCTTGGTGCAGTGACGACACGTTTCCATAGGAAGTCCCGGCCTCAATGGTCGAGGAATTCGCCTCACTACTTCATGCCGAAAGTTCTTATTCTTCACTCCCGACCACTCCCGGTATGGTAGCCGACATTGGTTTTATGTCGAATGTAATATTATGAGCGAATACCCTTGTAAGGGTGTTCGCTCCGACAACGCGTCCCTTCTTGATCCCGAAACAAAGTAGTCTTGCGGAGCTTATCCGCCGTGCCGACTTGATTGTTTGAGACGACGCTCCGATGAGTAACAAGTTTCACTTGGAAGCTTTTGACATTACGCTTCGGGACCTCTGTAACTATGACGAGCCGTTTGGTGGAAAAGTTTTACTTCTAGCTGGAGATTTTAGACAGTTTTTGCCCGTTGTGAAACACGGATCGTGAGCCCAACAAATTGATGCGTCCATGAAAATGTCTCATTTGTGAAAACTTTTCAACTGACCGAAAGTATGCGAATCTAAAGTTTAGGGAATGATGAAATGACCCGAATGTATGCCCACTTTTGATGCGGATTGGGAATGGTGACCATCCTCGTGTTGTTCCTAATTAACCTTCTGCGGTCAGATTGCCACGTGAGATTTGTACGGATAAACCAATTGATGAGTTGATTTCATGGACGTTTGATGATGTGTCCAACAATGTGGGGGATGTCGAGTATTTCTTGCCTCGATTAATTGTATGCCCTACTAATGATGATGCGGGTTCTGACCCGTTGAATGTTTCGGATTTGAAGGCTTCTTCCATATTGCAATCACTTTTGACCGATGAGTTCGTGACTCTCTCTAATGAAGAGATTATTAGGATGATATTAAATTTGCCACATTGTCCGACAGAAGGGACCATTCCCCAACCCTTTCACAGATACGCATGGCAACATCGATACAACAACTTCTCAAAAGGATTCCTCCCGTGGTTGCTTCTTTTACTCCTCATTCCGCTCCGGTCCGTAGACTCCGCCTTCAAGCAACATCTCCTCCAAATTTTCAACATTTTACGGATTATGCTTCACCCTCCAATATGTCAACACCAATTGTGACTACTTTTGTTGTTGTTTCTGCTTTGCCGACCACTACGGCTACTCCGTCTCCTGTCAGTTGTGTTGTGCCCGCTCATACACCATCAAGAGACCATCTGCATGCCCATACATGACCATTGGAACAACCAAGTTCTTCTAATTTTAACATTACCATATATGACTCTGTTGAATCTATTGGTACGAAAAAGACACTTATGCACCTGTCCTATCTTGACAGTTTTCACAAGGTGTAAGATATTGTGGAAGCAGCAACGAAATTGAATAGGAGTATGGACACTTGGAGATGTCTGGATGCCTCAATTCATATCGATTACAATCGGCAAAGATGGGTTCGATTCGAAACTTTCGAGGATTATCGTCGCAAAGTGTTGCAACAAGTTCCTGCAACATGTTCGAGAACGTAGTTCTTGTGACAGCAGTCAGGAAGCTCCCTCTGAACGACCTCGTGATTTGAAAAGGGAGTTCTCGATGTTGACCCCGACAAATCATTCAGGCTCCTCTACGATGTCCAGTCGGCGTCGTTTTGTTCGCTTTACCGACGTTCCCGATGGTCGGCGCCTATCTACACCGCTGATCCCTGATAGTGAGGGTAATCGGGATATGGAGACGATTCCCGGTGGATTGATGTTAGTGGACACAAATTTATGTGGTGTGTGCGAAACGAGTGGATCAAATGTCGTATGGACAGCGGGTCGACTGTGTGAAAGCATTGAAGTTACCCAACCCCTAGCATCTGACTATAGTCACTCGTTGGTGGATACAGACTTCTGCGATACGTCCGATAGAAACGGATCTGATCAGCAACAGTGGGGTACGTCCGATAGAAACGGGTCTAATCGGGAACAGTCAACGGAACGTCCGTGTGAAAGTGTCGAGATAGTTAAGAGAATTGCATGTGAAGCCAAAAAAATTGACTCTCCCCTAGGTTTGTTGAGTTCGCAGGTCCACGTACATACTTCATTGATGACAGCCACGAGTGCAACGGGAAATTGGCAGATTGGTTTTATACACACAAATTTCTACAGTTTATCCGAGTCCTCCTAATCTGATTTGTCGAGGACCGCTCCCACGGACAGATCTGAATTCATAGAAGCAGCGCATCGGTCCCCGACTCCGACTCTTCCTGGAACTCCCGAAGCAGTTCGTCAGGTTTTGACTCATCCCCTACCTGGAGAAAGGAGAAGATATAATCGAAAAAACAAGCCGGTTAAAAGGTCAGAATATTCGAAGAGGGCCAAATGTGGATTGAATGAAACTAATATTGCGCTCGTCCCAAAGCACAAATGTTGTAAGAACAAGTGTCTTCGGGTCTTGGCCATTGATGATACCAAACCGGTGCGTGAAGCTTATTATGAAATGTTCCTCGAAAGGAGGATCGAGTGGTGGATGCAAACCCTTGACAATTTCACCATCCTCGACGGTGTTGTGGAAAGAGTCGAACCAGTACAGTGCAAGCATCGTGTGTGAATCGTCGGTTGGTGTAAAATAATAGGGATATGTCGAAACACATTTCGTCGTTATAGCAAGTGCAAGTCAGACGGGGACGTCCGTGCTCGACATGGTGGATGGGGATTGTTGAACTCGAGAGCGGAGTATGTGAGCATGCTCGCTCATGTGACAAGGTTCGTGGAAAAACATGGAGATGCTATGCCTAACGAAATGGTTGTGAGGGGGACCTCACAGAGACCTAAAGTCAGGCTCCCTAGTTATTTTACGAAGCTCCTTCTCTATGAGTTTATCAAGGCGGACTTGGAAGCAGCGGGTCAGAGCAAGTCTTCTACTCCATATGGAGGAAGTACTTGTGGCATGCCGACCTTGCCAAATCCAACTTGTTCACAAAGTGTGGCGAGTGCGTCCGCCTTAGACAGGTCAGAAAATAACGCCCTTCACCTTCGTGACTGTAAGGATTTCGATGAAAAGCACCGTAAACACCAACTAGATCAGGTTGCTCACCGTGCGGATTATGCTGACTGGAAACTTCGTTCCATTTTGAACCCCGCGAAATACGTCTGTCTTATAGTGGATGGAATGGATCAAAAAAAGACAACCATTCCTCACATCGGCATGTATAATTACTCCAAGGATCATCGACACAACATGATGATGAAAACGAACCTGATCGCAATTGTAGCTCACGGCAGGAAACCGTTCATTTATGTTTACACGTATTTGTCTTTCTATGCTCACGGTTCCGATGGTACCATGACGTGTGTTATGCGAACTCTATGTGAGTTGCAGGCGTCTGGACAAAAATGGTCACGCCACCTCCGAATCCAGGCGGACAACTGGTGGAGGGAAAACAAAAACCAATACCTTATGTGCTTTGCCTCGTTTTTGGTGAAATTCGGGATTTTCGAAGATGTCGAAGTGGGGTTCATGCTCATTGGCCCCACGCATACCAACATAAACGTGACTTTTAGTGTTTTCTCGAAAAAGTTGAAGGACAACGATGCTTACACCATAAAGCAGTTGTTCTCGATTATCGAGTTGTCGCACAAGATACCGCCGAAGTGCACTGAGCTCGATCACATTGTCGATTAGCGTCGAGTGGTGGATCGATACGTCGACAAAAATATCGTCGGTGTGTTGAAACCGCATCTCTTCAAATTCTTCATGCGTGACGGCAGTCCCGTCATGGTGTACAAAAAGTACTGCACCAATGCGGAATGGATGCCGAAAGGCAGACCAGTTCACTGGTTCCCTGTTGTCAATGGAGAGTATGCAGACCCTACCTCCCCTCCACAACCATGTGCTATTCCCCGTGTCGTTAAAGAGGATTTTCGGATGGCTTGTGATGGTGTCAAAAAATTCCTGGACGTCCTCGAACAATATAGACACATGTGGCAGACATATAGGAAGGAGGAGGTCGACGAGCGGGAGAATGTTTTGTCTTACATGAAAACCATCTTCGTCGAGGCGGACGATATGATGCAAGAGCAAAAGAAGAAGGAGACGGAAGAGGGTGAGGAAGAGGATGTCCTCGGGGCGGACGAGCCCGAGATCTACCCTCATACCTTCTGACCACAATCAGTCGAAACTGTGGAGGAAGTTCAAAAAATCGACCCTCCTTCACCAGAGGCTTTGCTTATACACGTAGGATTGAGGGGGGGCCGTCCAAAAGTGAACTTCGACCCTAGGCGCCATATAAACAAAGGCGATTTTGTGATTGTTCGGCTACCCGATGAGGAACTGTCTCAAGGTATCCCATTCTGGGTATGTAGACCACAGTCTGAGGTTGTGGACGAGCGTTCTTCTCGTAATTTCGGTTGTTTATGTATACAGTGGTGGATGCCTATAGGTCACTCGTGCGATCTTCGTGAAAGGTACTCCGACGCTTGGACGAAGGGGTGGAAACTTTCCACTTAAGACGAGGAACAATGGCAATGCGCCGAAACCGTGGCTTGTTCCTGGAGAAGACCTTTCCGCAAAGGAATGGGTGAAAGCAAATTCGTGACAGACCTTACAAGACCGACATCCGTCTGCGAGAAAACACTTGTTGCCCTTGGGGACGGTTGTCTTTCCGGTCCGTCAGACGTGGCTATTTAGTTAAATGGGAACTCATTCGGATTTGTTAGTTACGAACTCCGCAAAGATAATGACGAAACGTTAACTACGAACTAATTCCGATTTCTTGCCCTGCAGGATGGATGAGGAAGGGGCATCATCGTGCGACGTTGTATATGAGACAACGTCCTATGAAACCTCGTCATATGCGAGCGAGTATTCCTTTTCGATTGAGAATGTGGAAAAGGATCTTATCATCATGAACAAAAATATTTGGGCACGAGGTTTGGTCAGTCTTGAAACCGATTATCTGCATATCGAAGCTGGGGTCGGCCTCGACAGTTACATCGAACCCGAAACACGTGTTATTGATGGACAAATTACAATAGTTCGTGATAAAGGGTCAAATACATGGTACCTCTACTGGAGTTTAGAAGAAGTCCAACCTTAGGAAGTTTTATCCAGTTAGGAGGAGAAGGTCGACGTCGAGGATATGGTAGATGTGTGGGACTCACTGCGCTTAGAACAAGACTGGGATTGTATGGAGAACCAACATGCTAAACTTTGCGCATGGTACTGCATCGGGAAGTCGCCGTTGCATTTCTCTGTGATCATAGACTACCATGGTCGAGTTCGTCTGTTCAACCGTGACACCCGTGTACTAACTCTTTTCACGGCGGCCAAGCTTTATGGTAAGCGAATGAGAGTTTTTTTCCTTGTGAAGAAAGACTTTCGCGAGCCCTGAAGCGCTTCCGTGATCGATTCGAAATAAATCCTTCGCTCGAAAAAGAATTGAATCTAAGGGTTGAGTGCTTGGTGCATGCCCAACTTCACTTCCTTTTCAGATTATGTGAGGAGATATTCTTCACGTTGGAACACAAGGAAAGCTACAATGACTACAGTTTACGAAATATTTCGCATCACCGTTCGGATGTCCAAACATTGGAATTCGTTGGTGGTAGGCGGAGACAGATCTACGATTGTCCTTACTGTGACAATGAACACTAATTGCCCTGACCTGCTATGTGAGCCTTCCTATTTGGAGATTTCCACAACTCCGAGTTAGTTCGCACTTTGTTGCTGTACTCTTAGGAAAACCTCGAGGTTCATCGACGACCCCGTTGTTCATGTTAGTCTGAGTTAACTCGTCATTGTTGTCGCTGTTCCCACCTCAAGGGTCTGCTATTTTTTCTTCTCCTGTCCGTCGCACAATTGGGAGTACGGACACCCTGTAACGAAGTGCAAATCTATTATCAGTTATCGGACCCCCAGTAGGTCATTTCATTCTTTCTTTCGGTGGATATGTGGGACTTCGCTTTATTATGAACTGACATAAGTGGGAGAATACTCGCAGTTGGCATTCCCGCTAGACTCACTGTGCGTCATCGTTTACATGCTACCTCGTTCTTCCTCACATCATGCAGGATGAACTCCAATCAGACCTCGGCCCGCGGAAGCACTTCCTTCTCGTCTCACGGCGCCGTTTCTCTAAACCGGATTCCCGACCTCGCAAGTCACGTCATTATTGTCATGTGCAGTGCTCACCCTCATTTCCTTTACTTGATATGTCCCTTTCCACATAGTCCCCCCTGCATGTGTCGTGTGCTTCACGCGCTCGCATCATCTCTAACATGGCATTTATTGCTTCGACACATAATGCAGGATGAACTCCAACCAGACTTCAACTATTTACACTCACCCAAGCGAGTCGAGTAACCGTTCCTCTCCATGCGACGTCCCACCGTTTCTCGAAGAGGGTCTCATTATTTTGAACAAAAATATATGGGAGAACCATCTCGTGAGCATTGACCCTCAATATTTGCACATTGAAAGCGGTGTTGCACCGGACGGGGAAATCTCTATGCGTTTAACCTATGACAATGACAGACAAATTGTGGTCGTTTCGGATAACGGGTCAAACTTCTGGTACCTGTACTCGCTGCAGAAATAGGTTGAGGTTGAGGTAGATCCTGACGGTGGCGAGGAGGATGATAAGGAGCCTGAGGACGATGTTGCTCCAACGGAGATGATTGACACTTGGAACACCCTTTGTACCATCTAACGATGGCCAACCCAAGACAGAAGCCACGTAAAGCTATGTGCATGGTTTCGCCTTGGAAAACCGGAGTTGCGGACCCCAGTTATTGTTGACTACTATGGTCGAATTCGGGTGTTGAATCACAACACTACCATTACTACGGTTTTTACGACCGTCAAGGTCGATGGTCGAAAAATGAAAGCTTATTTTCTTGTAAGGGAGGAGTACCGAGGTGTCACCCTCAGTTGCGAGGAAGCGTTTCTCAGCCTGACACTTGCCGGTGCTCTAGGGGGATTCAGAACTCGGCTATCCTTAGATGCGGTTCTTAGGAAGGAGCTCAAGTTAAGGGTCGACTGTTTGGTACACAGTCAGTTGCACTACCTTTTTGATAATTGCGATGACATATCATGGACAGTTGAATATAGGGATCACAACACGGAGGTTGTTTTCCACAAAGATGATTACCACCGGTCGGGTACCAAGAAGGTGGAACTCCTCCCCTGTACTTTGACAAAAGTATATGATTTCCTTACTGTGAAGATGGCATCCCTGGTAGGCGTTTCCACTGTTCCTTTCAGTAGGTGTGTCCTTGCACAATTGGGAGTGGTAGTATACTCCTAGTTGCCATTCCTGCTAGACTACGTGGATGTCATCGCTAACATGCCACCTCGTGCTTCCTCACGCAATGCAGGATGAACTCCAACCAGACCTCCCTCCCTGGTAGGCCCTCCCACTGTTCCATTAAGAATGTGTGTTCGTTTTCACTTCTCTTGAACCTTACATAATTGGGAATATGGCCACCTTGTCACGAAGTCCGAATCTATTCTCAGTTATCAAACCTCGAGTAGGTCGTTCCGTTGCTCCTTTCAATAGATGTGTGTGACTTCACTTCATTATGAGCTAGCATAAGTGGGAGTATACTCGCAGTTGCCATTCCTGCCAGACTTCGTGGACGTCATCACTAATATGCTACCTCGTGCTTCCTCACGTAATGCAGGATGAACTCCAACCAGACCTCGGCCCGCACAAGCGCATCCAGCTCGTCTTACATCGGCGTCTCGCCCGACCGGATTCCCGATCTCGATCTCTTCATTTTGGACAATAATATATGAGAGTATGAGCGAGTGAACTCTTCACGCCGATATCTGAACATCGAATCGGATATTGAACCGGATGGGCAAGTTCCCATAATATTGAGAATGGGCGCCACCGCGGATGACCTTGTTGTCGATAGAGATATGGGTTGGAAATTCTGGTACCTGTACTCCTTGGAAGACGAAATTGATGTAGAGTCCGTCGGCGAGGAGGGAGATCCAGAACCTGCCACTCCTGAAGAGATGATGGACGAGTGGCGCGTCCTGTGTGCAAAGCAGAGATGGTCAGACCCTGATAGGAGGCACGTGAAACTTTATGCCTGGTTTTACCCGGGACAATCGGTTTTGCCTGCACTGGTCATCATAGATTATTACGGTCGCATTCGGGTATTGAACCGTAACACGACGGTTGTGACGCTATTCACAGCCGTGAAGGTTGACGGTCGAAACATGAAAGCGCTTTTCATTGCAAGGAAGGAGTTTTGAGGAGTCACCCTCAGTTCCGTGCAAACGTTTTGCAGCCCCACGGTCGAGGGTGCGCTCGGACGCCTTAGAGATCGGTTATGACACGATGCGGCATTAACGAAAGAGCTCAACTTAGGAGTCGACTGTTTGGTACACTCTCAGTTGCATTACGTTTTCGATAACTGTGACGAGATTTCCTAGAGAGTAGAACATAGGGACCACAACTTACAGGCTGTTTTTTGAGAGGAGGAGCACCGTCTGTTGGCTATGAAAGTAGTTACGTTTGTCGAGGGCTGACAGTGTGATGTGTACGACTGTCCGTACTATCGAAACGGATATCCTAAATATCTATAAGGAAAGTGGTCCTCACCAGGAGAGTAGTCTGACCGTTCCAAATGAATGGCGTGTTGGAAATGAGTCGAGATTAAGCGGCGGTTACAAAACTTGCGCTCTCTTGCGAAGTGCGAATTTATTCCCATTTATTGAATCACATGAATGTGGTGTGGAAAATAAGTCGAGATTAAGCAGGGGTTACGCCCGACAACGTGATGTATATGAAAGTGCGTACTGTCGCAACGGGCATCCTGAATATCTGCAAGGAAAGTGATCCTCACTAGGAGAGTAGTCTGACCGTTCCACATGAATGACATATTGACAATGAGTCGAGATTAAGAGGCGGTTGCAGAAGTTGTGCTCTCTTGTGAAGTGCGAATCTGTTCTCACTTATCGAACCATATGAATGACGTGTGAAAAATAAGTCGAGATTAAACGGCGGTTATAGAACTTGTGCTCTCTTGGGAAGTGTGAATCTATTCTCAATTATCGAACCCTTTCGTGCATCCGACAAGATTCTGTATTTGTTTTTTAATAAATTTTAATGCACTCGGTTATTTTTTTATGCACTTGGAGAATCGCAACTGACGCGCTTCCTTGTGTTTCTTCGCTGATGCAGAATGGATGTCGATACTTCGTTGCAAAGTAGGAACTCCTCAACGCCAGACACATATCTGATCATTTTGTCAAAGAATATTTGGAAAAACATTGGGCGTTCTGGTGTGGACCGTGA